ATACTTATGGCACACTAATTAAATAAAATGATGCTAATTAGTACTATCAATAATGAACATTATTGCAAAGGATTGGAATATCTACATTACTGCAAATCACACGAGAAGTATCTGCCTAAGAAAAGGAGTGCCTTCCTGAAGTGACTCGTATTTACGCTACTAAGAAAGCTACAAAAGAAAACTACAAAATCTCTCATGCAGTTAGTACAGACAAGCCTAAAAAAAAATTCCTTATCATGAATCCAGGGAATGGTCTTCGTGTCTGTTACTGTTTGCTTTCCGTTCTCAAAAGAAAAAATAAAGAAATCCGAAAGGTTTCAGATTTTAAATTACGTCCAAAGGGGCGTTTTTTAACGTTGTGTTACCTTTATTTATTAAATATCATGTTCTTTGCACTTAAACCATAAAATTCTGTTCAATAGCAATGTCGTAAAATAATTTTAAAATGAGCCTATCTTTAGAATTTCCGATGCACAGTTACGTGCGCTGGAGATAAAAAGAGGTTTTTTCTCCGACGAGTGTTGCCATTGCTCGCTTTTAAATCGTTGAGTTTGTTACTCAAAAATTCGTTAAAGTTTTACAAAATATGAAATCGATCATAAAACAAATTTCAAATTTCAAATTTGGTCTTCCACATGCCCATATTCGCAGGAGGATGACGTCATTCAAAAGTCGATGGCTCTATGTACCGTTGTTTTATCACAATACGAGAAATATACATACATTTATGCAGATTTTTCCTTATTTAGTTTCTTTAAATATAATGCAGGACTCTAACATTTCGTGGCAACTGTTCGAAAAGTGAAACGGACATTTATAGTGATTCAACGCAAAATCACAAAACGAAAACAACAGTCCTTCAGAGACAAAACCCCTTCGGACTAAAAAAAAAAAAAAAAAAAAAAAAAAAAAAAAAAAAAAAAAAAAACAAAAAAAAAAAAAACAAAAAAAAAAAAAAACAAAAAAAAAAAAAAAAAAAAAAAAAAAAAAAAAAAAAAAAAAAAAAAAAAAATCAAAGCTAAAATGCAAAATAACTAGCTTTATGGGAAGTTACCCGGACAGATGAGGTTCTCTCTCTCTCTCTATATATATATATAAATTCGCTCAAAGAGTAAAGAAGCAAAAGTAAGGGTTTTTTTTTAAATGGATTTTAAAAGTAAAAATCTAGCGCTATCGACGCTAAGGCTATAAATACTTTATGTAAATACTGCACTTTATTAATTTATAATTATTAATTATTTATTTACGATTATGTTTTAGGAAAAGAATGCAAAGCTATGGCAAACTGAAATTAATAAATGTTAATTCCTGATAAGACGGATAAAATATCAATAAACATGGAACTAATTCAGAAGAAGTTTAAAATTGCATGGATATTTATCAGAAAAGTATTTTTTAAATAAATAAAAGTACTTACATAAAAATAAAGTACATTGATTTAATGTAAATTATTGCTAGAAAAATATTATTTTTTTAATGGTCTGGAGCTTTATTTAATAGCCATTAGCCTTGCGCTACTACAAGGGTCAGAAGTGGTGGTCATATGATTATGGAAGCAACCTATAACGAAAAGTCTACATACACTATCCTGGAAAAAAAAAAAAAAAAAAAAAAAAAAACAAAAAAAAAAAAAAAAAAAAAAAAAAAAAAAAAAAAAAAAAAAAAAAAAAAAAAAAAAAAAAAAAAAAAAAAAAAAAAAAAAAAAAAAAAAAAAAAAAAAAAAAGAAAAAAAACAAAAAAAAAAAAAAAAAAAAGCGCATAAATAAAGAACGAGTCGCTTTAGTCCTTTAAAATACAATTAAAAATAAACATTAAAATTTATTTAAAATTTTTAAAAAATTAATTTTTGAAATTAATTATCCATATTTTAATGCTCCAATTAGATTCATCAGGGAGTAATTAATAAAACATTAAACATTTAACGAGTTCTGAATACCTATTAAAGTTAAAAATTAAAACTAATATTTTTAACAAACTGATAAAATAGATTCATTTACTTAAACTAATAAATTTAAAAAACAATTATTTTAAAAGTTTCTTTTTATCTTTTATCTTTTCAATGAACAAAAACCCCATTCTCTAGTACTCAAAAATGTACCCCAGCATTAGTTCAGACCTCGAATAAAATAAAAATTCAAAAATACAAAAATATGCAAAAAGACAAACATGAAAAATTTGTATATATATATGTGTGTGAGTCTAAGAAAAAAAATATTTTCATGTGCATATTTTAAAAAAGAAACAGCAACTAAACAACGCATCGAAAACTGAAGTCATCTAGGTATAATAGGTAAATAATAATATACTACAATAAGGTTTTTAGGTTTGGCCCAAGGAAAGATATGACTTCGTGAACAACTTTCTACGGAAAATTGGCTCTTCCAAGTCACATGTGAGGAAAGCCACGAAAAGAGCCAATAAAGCCAATTCGTTTGTCTGGAATCGAGTCAAGGTCGAACTACCACTGTTCAGCATCTTTACCGCTCAGACAGTGGGCCGATGATTGTTCTTTTAAAAATATAAAAATGAATATCCCTTTTTCAGTTTTATGTAGTGGTTATATTTAAAATTCATATTCTTTTAACAGAATAGAGAGTGTAGGAAGATCTCACTTCTAAGAAAACATAAGAATCATTTTATTACTGAGAAACTTTTAAAAAAGTATTCCAGTCTCAGAAAATCACTATATAAAAATTTTTTAGCACAATCCTCTTGTTTTTGAGTACAATTCTCAATCTTCTTTTTTTAAAATATTCTCAGATTTCATGAAGAAATATAGTGCACTTTTCTAATGGCTGGTTTAAGCAAAACATTCCGTTTTTCTCAAGTTTATTGACAATATTAAAAAAAAAAACTGACGTTCAAGCTCATTTAACTTACCATATACGGAGATTTCCGTTTATATCTCGTACGTATAAACTCCATACCTGAAGACACACACAAAAGGAAAAATAAACAAATAAATAAATGTTGAAGGAAATACTTCCGGCTTGCTAAATTCAATACTAAAACAGAATTGAGATTTTATTATTATTATTATTATTATCACGTCGATAAAAACTGAAAGCTTTCAGTTAAGTTTCGTTTTAATCTTTAAAAAAATTAGTACATTACAAAAATTTAATTCTTGATGATATGTATTGTAAAATGGCCGTTAGTTTGAAAATAGGCATATGGAACTTCTGTGCAATACTAATTAATTATATTGACACTATTATTTAGCACACTATTGCTTATTGCATAGCTAATTGCATCACTATTATTTTATTATAACACTGACACTATTTTTATTGAATAACTAATTGCATCAATATTATTTGTTAATATAATTAATTGCATTGCTATTTTACTTATTATAACATCAACACTATAATTTATTGCATAACTAATTGCATCAGTATACACTGAATTCCATTTTTAAATTTCGGAAGGTATTTTGTACAATAAAAGTACTTTGAATCAAACTGAAGGAGAAAATTTTCAGTATAAAATTTTAAATTAGGCAAAACAACAAACTTTCTTTTGCTTTGATTTTGAATAAATTTCGATCGATTTAGACCACGATCAGACACAAGAGCGTCAAAAGACGGCGATGATACTTCCTTGAAACCGAAAGTTTTATTTATCAGCAAACAATCTTAAATAAATAAATAGCGTATTTATTCAAAATAAGACCCACTTTAAAATGTAAGACCCTCCTTACATTTTAGGATAAAATTTAAAAAATGGAGGTGTAGGTGAATACTTTTAAAATTTTAAAATGCAATAATTCTGAGAAAGAAAACCTTAATTTTTTTTTTTTTCTTTCCCTCGGAATTTCCTTGACACAGTATCATTTAGCTATGGTCTAACGACATGCATTGTCACCTGCTTTTTGTTAAGCGTACCAGAGACCTGTAAAGTTTGGTTTTGTTTATTTGATTATAGCAAAGCACTCTAGGGCTATCTGCCTGAAGGGATTTATGCCTTCGTGGAGGACTTTCCAAGGGGATCTGGCTCGTGTCCGCGTTGCAAGTGGGAAAAGCAACAAAAACACCCCTCTTCGCCGAGAATCGAACCACCAGTGTACAGCGACTTTACCGCTCGGCCGTTATCTTATAATGTTTTAACTGTGATCATAACGAATCAGTTAATTTGATATTAAATGCACATTTGATGATATTGATCTATTAATCAGTATACTCGCCTATAATAACCTGCTAGAATAAAAATATGTAAAATATATAGAAAAATTTTTGAACAAAAATGTAACAAAAAGCAGGGGCTTATTTTTGAGTAAATTCTGTTTATGCGTGTTTTCGACGGCTATCTGAACTTACATGATAAATTAATACTTTAGGTAATAAATAATAACTTAATTGAAAACAAAAATTTACTCCGCACCCAACATACAAAAAAAACGTAAACGCAGACTAATGGCTATATCTATAGAATTTTAAACAGTATTAATGTTTGTTGGCCTTAGTTAAATGTTACGTTACGTTAAGTTACGTTAATTAAATTATTCATTATTCTCCCACAGTACGATAATTACATATGTGGTTTATTGAGAATGCGAAGAATGTAATTTTCACATGATACAATGATACATAATGTAACTTTTTCATACCATTTTGCAACTTCATTTATCAAAATAACCAACCAGTTTTTGGAACAAAAATATAATCGAAAAAAATAAAAAGTGGGGAGTCTTATTTACTAGTAAATACGATATATATATTTTCAAAATAAAATCAACAAAATTGAGGAAAGAGAAAAAAATATCCTTTCCAGAAATAGAATAATACTAAAGAAATAAAGAAAGAATATACTAAAAGTATAGAATAATACTAAAAAGAAAAGAATAATACTAAAAAGAAAAGAATAATAAGAAGAAAGAAAAAATAAAAAGAATAATACTAAAGAAAGAATAATATTAAAAGTAAGCAATGGAATTCGACTTTCTTTAATTATCAAGAAATATGGGAATAATAATAAAAATAATAATAAGTGCAACTTACCCATCTTTCCTGAAGACGAATTTTGCAGCTGTCCTTCGGGTAACTGCTGTTTGTTCCAATACATGTTATCTGGGCTCTGCCTATAGAAATCACTTGCTTCGGGCGGATGATTATTAATGGAGTATGAGTAATAATAATTAGTCCTTTGATTAATGTCAGCAACATATGAAGGTCCATGTTCATAACTGCCATGCGGTATTGTACTCGGTTGTTGCATGACACAATTGGCTCCAGAGTCTGAAAAACTGCAACTAGCCATTGGGAACTGGTCGTTGGCACTCGTTCGCATGGCGAAAGCTTTTCCATCAGGTTCTGGGAGGACTGACAAGTGTCCGTCATGGTAGGGGACTTCGTCTAGCGAATCATGTGACATGGACGAAACCAATAGTCTGATTAGACACTTTTGGCCACCGGGACCTAGAAGAGGGGTTGAACAAAAAAAAAAAAAAAAAAAAAAAAAAAAAAAAAATCACAAGCTGCCCATTGACATCCGTAAACAAAACTAAGGGAACTTGATTTTATGCGCTTCCGCGAGCTGTTTTCAAGCCTCTTTCCTCAGGCGATATTCATGTTAACAAAGTAAATGATGAGGATCGTAAAATCCCTTTACTGAACAGGATTTCAGATAATAAACCGAGTCTAAAGCTTTATTATTCTTGAGTATATTATTTTCTCCAGGTAATTTAATGGTGATCATAACCAGCATGAATTAATTTGCTATTTGTGACACTGATCTATATACTTGCAGGATTTCAATATTCAACCATTTATTGTGCTTAAAACACTTCATAAATTTAAAACAGAAAATAAAAATCTAGGAAAGATTTCTTAAATGATATATTGATAATGCTTGTACTATAGTGTACCTATAGTACAAACAGCATATGATAATAATTTAATATCAGTTTGATGCTGATATTGGATTATTATGTATTAGATAATTGTAGCTGATCTTGGGCAGCAGACTATACTTGGATTATATATATCTTGGATTTAAAAGATGATATTAGATTACTATTTTAGAATGCTGCAATTCCATTTTAAAGAGGCGGATTTCTCAGTAAATATAAAGCCTAAATTATATCATACCAATGGCCCAAGTTCGTTGCCATTTATCTGAAATACTTTTCTTTAGAAATGAATGAAACCTTCCGTATCTTAATTTAGGGCCATATTCTTTGAAGGCAAAAACCTCTAGATAAAATATAAAAACGCATTTCTTAGATTTATACTCTAAAAGTAAAAGATACTTGCGAGACTTCTCGAAACAGTATCCAATTTCTTTCAGGAAAAGCAAGTATCGCATAAAAATATAAACACTGATTACTTCCATAGCCTGCAAAGTAGTAAAATTTATGACGTGAACAAAAACAATACGGCATAAAAACTACAAAATACCTACACAATTAGAGAGTTCTTTAGGATCCGAACTGAGATCGAACTACCAATATTCAGCAGACTATAAATAGGCCTTCAGGCATTTTTCTCTCCTTTACAAAAAAGGTTACCAAATCTTGAACTGAAATTTGTATGTAATATATATGTAGGAATCAGCTCATCTAAAAATGCATAATAGTGTAAAATTTAGCTGTTGATTTTCTACAAAGACAATTATAAATATTATAAAAATTAACGATATTTGGTGGCACAGCATTAGTTGATAACTAACTGGTAAACTATGCAGCCAATACAAAATTTTATTACCCTGAAATAGAAACAAACTCTTCAAGTTTTATTTACATACTTCATAAATGTTCATTATTCTCACTTTCGCTAATCGGCAGACATCTATGTATTAATTCGCTTCGCTCATGCCAGTATAAAGATCATCAATGACAAAGCGTCCAGGATTCTGAATATTAGCGGGAAGTGGAGGAACAAAGATAAGATCCTTGTGCAACCCTAACAAGAAAAAAATCACGTGAGATTAAATCCGAAAATCGGGATGACCATCACATCAAAGCATCCCTATCTATGCGTCTTACCTATATTTAAGGCAAATTTTAATTGATATAGTCTAACAAATGGTATTGACATCTGCATCAATTTTTGAAGGAGATACTCATTTCGTTTGGATGCTCTGTATAATGCTGGTAAAATATGGTAATTTAACAGCATACAATTGTCTCGTTGAAAGACGTAATCATCATTGTTTCCATTTATTTGTGATATCAGCCATTTACTGAACATGCTTGAAGCAAATCTTCCGATAAAATCGAGTTCAAATTTCGGAGAATGCGTTGACTGCCCTATAGTTTATGTGATTTCTAATTATAATGTGAATATGAAACATTTTCCTCAAAATTCCTCAAAAAAAGCATGCTTTCTTTATGTAGATAGCTTTTGGTTACTTTGTCATAATCTAAACAACCCAGTCCAATTCTTGAAGGGCCCACCAACGGCCGAGCGGTAAATCGCTAAACACTGGTAGTTCGGTCCGAAGTTGGAATCCCGCGAACGGGCTGGCTGCATGGGCGTTTTCATGATTTTTCCCATGTATAAGGTGTATACAAGCCAGTTTCCCTTAGAACGTCCTCCACGAAAGCATCCCTTCCCTTAAGCAGATAGCCCTCGAGGTTTTGCAGCAATCTCATAAACCATAAACCAATTCCTGATGCTGACAGATAAGTACACGTATAGGTATATATGAACAAAGACACCAACCGAACACTACCCGGGCATCAAGTTCTACGTCTGATCATTGCTCATACATTTCAAATAATTCTGAAAGTTGTTGTAAAAAATTAATAATCGCTTTAAAGTCATATATAGTAAAGTAATGGAATACAAGAAACGTATGGTAAATATAATCACAATCAAATTTTGAAATTTTAAGGATTTCAGATATTTCAGAGGCTGAGTAATGTAAAGATCTAATTTTGTAAAATTTAGTGAATGTGTTGTGAATAATTTATATAATTACGAAAAGTTAATAATAATTAGATATGCTCCCCGATGTATAAGTTATATAAGTTGGCAACAGCTTTGCAGTAATAATAGCTTTCTAAAGAAGCTGTGGGGTTTTTAACTTCGTATTTCATGTAGGAGTTTGAACTACTTCGCGGCTGTTTTAGATGAAATTTCTTTGAGAAAGAAAAGCAAATATAGATCTGGATCTTCACATTATGTTAGCTCTGGCAGAGATTTCTTAAAAAGAAATGAGAATGATGAGGTTAAAGCTATACCGGAATTTAATTAAAAATCATCCGCACACAAACTGTAAAATCAAATTTACAGATTAATAACGACTACTATTGAGAGAAAAAGTGAAAATCTGAGGACCAATATTAAACAGCACATAATAAGTATATTAATAAAAGCATCGTAAAACTCATTCGAGGTAATAAGCGCATATTTGAACATTACTATTTTTAATTACATCTGCAAAATATCCGAAATGTTTAAGTAATAGAACGATTTTCTTAAAAGTCCCAGATCGTGTTGCGCAAGTGAACCAAAACTGTCGAATTTTCATACTTTAAATCCTGTTAGAACCCCTTTCCTGGGTCTTGAAAAACAAGAAACCGGACTTTATTTGTTGCTGACTTTGTTGCTGTTCTCAGAACTAAGTCTTATGAAATTTTTCCCGTTGTCAGTTTGACCGCCTTAGACCGCCCAAGGACTTCCCACACGATATGAATGAAGAGACGAGGACACGCAGAGAAAAACATGTGTAGCGAAAGGGAGGGAAAACATTTTGCACCCTTTAGTGTGGAAACTCCCACGGGACAATGGCTCCGCTCTGAAACTCAAACAAAACACCAGGAGACAAATGCAACTGATAGATCTATTTTGAAACTGTTTGAACTTAGCGACTTGTCAACGACCAGAATCTGCGCCTAACATCCTCTTTACTTACGATGTTCTCATTCAGGTGTTTTCATTTCCCTAAAGCCAGTTCTTTGACAATGCAAGTAACTTTTAGGTGTTGTAAATTAATCAACACAAGACTGACTAGAGTTGCTACTTGTGAGGTCTCCCACCTGCTTTTGTGGTCTCCCAATATGCGCTTCTCCGCCTCTACTAAATTTAGTGTCTGCGTTATAACACAAACGATAATACAGTAATGCTGATATCGGAAAATTCTATGAATTATAGAGAAAGATGTAATGTATTTGAAGCTACTTTCGATGGCTTTTTTATGCTTTTATTTTGAAGTATTTATAACATTTGTTAAATAAAGTATTAAGCTTAAAAATTAATCATACCATAAAATTTCCTATGATCCGAAGGAAAATGACAATCATCTATACGAAATGGTTCACAGAAACTTTGGTTTTCTAAAAACATGATCTTTATTCGAGACTTAGTCGTCTCGAATAAATACCATGCTGGGAATTTTTTTAATTGAAAAGGGATAAGTGACAAAAAACTTGTTTCGTAGGTAGAAATGGTGAGTTCCATATTTTATAAAGGCGTTGTTCTCAGTCTACCCAAGAATTCGCCATCACACAATTCCATTCTCATCAAGCAATGTCTGGCTGTGTCATTATTCATAATCCTCGGATACCTCTGAGATGGTTATTTTAATAACATTGAAAAGATTCAGAAAACTGCAACCAGAGAGTTAAACAGCATTTCAAAAGATTACAGTTTTACAAAGGAATTCAGCAGTTGCATGAACACGCCGAGCATTATGAAAACTTGCAAAGTTTGGTTGGTTTGGTTTATTTGATTATTGCAAAGCTCGAGGGCTATCTGCCTAAAGAGAGGGGTGCCTTCGTAGAGGACTTTCTAAGGGAAACTGGCTCGTATACAGGTCTTGCAAAGATTGTATATTGAAGTTTAAGAGATAAAAATGCTGTTTGCTCCAACTTTCGAATTCGTACAAATCTAAAATTTCGAAGCGTACTCTGTATATATGCTTATTCTGATCTCTTGTATCAAATACTTCATACTTAGTGAATGTACTATATAAGTATATACTTCATACTTAAAATGTACAGTGGTATTTTCTTTAACATGCGTAATTATGTAACTATACATGTGTAATCACTAACTGGGTCCGAAAAGTTTTCCTTTTGCTTAATTTTGATATATATCCAAAATAAGCTTCAAATACGTGTTGCTTTTAAAAATTCTCTTGGGATCTAATTTCTAAAATTACATATACTACTGAGCATTACAAAATGGTATACTTTACCTTATAACCTTATAACGTAATATATTTTACATTACAATACCGTATATTTTTTGATTCTGAAGCGTCATCTCAAATATCTGCTTGCAATTTCATAAGTAATTTGTGTAGCATAGGAAAGGTTTTACAAGAAACTTAGAATGTGGATTTGCTAACAATGGGGAAGAAGGGACATGGATATGTAACATACCCTATGCTCATTCACGATTAGTAGAATGACTCGGTCACGTGAACACATATATGTTTTGCCGGCACGTAGTCCTTATTTCTGAAAAAA